TTTATTAAAATTCAATTTTTCAATAATTTCATCAAAAATGTCTTAAAATTCGACATTTTATCATAAAATCCATAAATTCAAAAAAACAAAACAAAAATCTTGTGATTTTAGTTTTATTCTACTTTAATTTTCTTTTTTGGCGGTTTACTAACGTAAGAACTGCAATTTTGAAGCAATTTACACTCTTCCCCGAACTCTTTTCGCTCGTTAGAAGCCAGATTCTATTCCAAAGTATTATTATGTATTATTAAGCGCATGAGGATGATGACATAACCGGTAGATCGCTCCTCCTCGCTGAGTTTTACGACAAAACGCACGAGGCGCTTCGAAGTAACGAAATCGAAAGTGGTCTTCTGAGAGAACTGATTCACTTCTTCGCCTCACGAGCCAGCCGATCAATTGAATGGAAGAATCGGCCTTGACTGTCTTGTGTCTTGCGCATGGACTACTTTAAGTCGATCGCCTTTATTTCCAAGTCGCGCCGCGAAACTGGAACATTTCGAGCAGGCAAACACCTTGCATTATTTTTGCAGTGGATGCAAAAAGCAAAAAAAACGTTATCGTAAACTCCTGAAGCCAAAGTGTTGCAATGAATCAACGAGGTATTCGACGTGGGGCATGAAGACTTGTCCTTTTGTAAAAATATTTGCGCGCCAAATATGTAGACGTGTTGCATTTCGCATTGAAAACATTTAAATTGCAATTTTAAAATATTTTCGCAAGTAAAGATCACGTAACATTTATATATCAATTGCAAATTGTGCGTTATGACATTTGTGGCTTGATTTTATAGATTTCACATTGACTCGCAGCAATTAGGAGTTTTAGAAATTAATTCATGATTGACAAGGACTTATATATAACACAAAACGAAAATTTTATTATTTTTAAAATTAATGAATTAATAGCATAAAAATAATTGGTGTTAGGTGTCAGGTTGATAGTTAACCCATTCGGAAATTGAGAATGTTTGTAACGCAAACAAATAGCAATAAAATTACCAAAATGTCAACCGACTAACGATTACATTCATGTGTCGCTCCGCCAAGAATTCAAGTTTATTTTGTAGAATCGTAAATGTCATAGATAAAATGTAAATAAATTTCAAATTAACATCTGAATTAAAACTCATAATTATCGACGGATCTAGATTTGAAAAAATTCAACAAATTCAAGACCTTTGCCGATGTTTAAACTAAAATTTCGAATTTATTGACTATCAGATGTTGAACTTTTCTTGCGGATACAAAATAATGTAAATATATAAAAAAAATATGTTTTTTAAAACAAAAAATAAACAATTTAGCTTCGAGGCATAGCAGTAAGTAGGTCCTAATGGAAGTAAAAATGATTTCAATTGAGATCCGCGACCACGAAGATCGTTAAAAAGGCATAAAATTGCGCGCACGCCCTAAAGGCAACACGAACCAAGCAATAACATTATTTAACCATTATTTAACATTAAATACAAATAGCCGCAGTACACAAACATTTTATGCATTCATTTATCTCAATATATCACATTCAAATGTTCGCAGATGTAGATTACTCCGAATAATTTACATATTACATAAAAAATCGTAAAATTTTTATTTTTATTGGTTAACAATTAGATTTTGAGTACATTTTCTAGTATTATGTAATAATCTACAATCCAGTGATTCAGGAAATGAATGAAATATTTATAGGTTATGTATTGGAAGCAAATTTGTTGTAGATTGAAGTCAAAGGATAAATGTGACAGGATACAAGTGGCTGTCAAGTTTATACACTGCTCCGCATGAAATTGAAAATTGCGAGCGATATGCAGCATAAAGTATAACACGTATAAATCGGTATTACTCGTAGGTATTACTGTAAATGTGACCTGGATCGGATCGTCGATTCGCCAAAGTTGTGTGCATGGTTAGAATGACGCACGCGGACCGGTAATGCGTGTGTTGCGGTGCACGTAAGCGTATGTACATAATACATAATGTGGATTATTAAAAATTATAATTTCACTTACGAGGCAAATGTTATAGCTACACGAATTGGCTGCGCCACAGCCACTTATTGATGAGATTTATTGTATCTAGCGATCTTTTCGGTTACTTCACCGCACGTGTGCAGAATTATCGCGGATTGTCAATAAATTTTCTTTGGATTTGTATTTATTTATAATTATTTGAAGAAATTTTAATTTTTGAATGAAATTTTGCCTGTTTTTCATTGTTTTGCGGCATGAGAAGTGGTATTTTAAACACGGACGGCCAAAATTGTGAGAAAAGTACTTTAGTCACGGGTTTTAGACACGGGGTGGAGTTTGCGCCTGCGCATTTGCCAACGATGTTGCAGAAAATCGAATAAAATGCTATGCGGCGTTAGCCAGTAAAATTGCGAAAATTTTAAAAGTTTAAAATTGTTTTCAATTGACATTTTCATTGCAATTATCATAGAAATTAGTTTCCTAGCAATACCTATATTTAATAACATTATTATTTAAATGATGATTGCAAAACGGAAAGTTTTCACATTGCAATGAAGAATTAATTAATACGAAATGAGAATTGTCGCCAAAAAAATGCAAATTGAGCAACAATTTGTTAGATGTCAAAGAATGGAAAACAAAAGACAATTTGCATAAAACTCTAGTCACCTACGCGTACCATTCTTCAGCATAAATAGCGAGCGATTAAAATATTTATAACATGAAGAAGAAATTTCGAAATTGCGAAACAAATCTAGCAGAAAATTTACGGCAAACATTCCATTCTATTCCTTATACCACCATAAAAAGAATGAAAAACTTGAAAATAAAGAAAATAAAAGGAAGATAAAGAATGATCAGTGACGCATTTTATTTGTTTGTTATTTAATACACTATACACTATTAAAAAACGTCATGCACACGAATACAAATGTCTTTCTTTCAGATTAAGAGGCACGTTTAAACGGCCGTTTAAAAGCGACGAACAGTAGCTTCGATTTCATTCAAATTTTCAACGTCGAACAAAAGCGTTCACAATCTGTTCTGCATTTTCCCCTCGCACGCACAATGAAAGGAAACAGAAGAACTATATTATATTAAAACACGGCCGGGCAGCAGCTAGCAGAATGAAATCGAGCATTAAAAGTGTTTTCATAAAAGAATATTTTTTAATGTTTGTATTTAAACGGATCAAATTATGCTTCCTTTACTTGAATAAACTTGGCATTCTTTATATTTCAATGTTAGGTAAAAAGATAAGTACCTCATACACATTTATTACTAATTATTTCATTAAACAATTTATTAATAAGAAAAAAAATCAAAAAATTCAAAAAAAATTTAATTTAAAAACAAAGTTTTAACCTAACTTAACCTAACTTTTTACTTATCCTAACCTAAAAATGCAATATGATACCCATATCGACTCTTTTTCAACCACAAATCTTTGGTTTCATTAACCATCTTGAGAAGCTGCACTTGAATTTAGTTTCTAGTATTTCTTCCTTACACAAATCCAAATATCTTGTTTACTTTTGTTAGCTTCACTATTGTACGCAACAAAATAAAGAAAACGCCAACAAATCGATGAGACGCTAACCATAACCTCAAATTGAATAGAATAGTTTATGTTGTGATGTGCGGTTTGACGTATCCGCCCTACAGGCTCACCTTCTTCTATTTGCAGACTATTCCCAAAAGCAAAAAAATTAACTTTTTTTTTTAGTTTGCTGCTATTATATCGCAATAAAAACGCACATTGAACATTTCAATTTACGCGCGTATAGAATTTCTTTTAAGTTGGTGCCTATTACGGTTACATCATCCGCTTTTAAGCGCTGATAATAACAATGGAAAAGGGTAAAATGAGTTCGTAATTTACACGTGAGCGGGGATAATAAATCCAGTTCGATATGTTCAATGTTCAATGGTTATAATATATTACCAAGTGGAAATTATCGATTTGTTCCTCGTGTGGCGCAAGTCTGCAAGTTCGCAATCTTTATGCACTTTACGCGGACAATAACCATGGAAATGGAGCACTTGCGGCTGTAATTCGCGTTGTTTATTGCCATACAAATAGTCAAAACAGCAACAATATCATTATGTTGTCAGCAATAATTTTCAAAATTGTCCAAGCATCACAATACAATGCTTAGACTATAAATTTTGTAATTATTTAGACAAAAATCTTCTTAAATGTTATTGGGAGCGATTTTTGTTTGAAATTTAGGTTAGGATTTACTTTACTTTTGAATTTCTTATTATATAAGTGGTAGAAATAAAATAATTGCAATATAAGCCTGAAAAAACATTTTTTTGAAAACATTGAATCGACATAACCTCAATTTGACATAATTCATTCTCAAAACCTTATTAGTGGCCATTTTTATTTAAAATATAGGTTAGGATTTACTTTGTGTTTAAATTTTTTGTTATAAAAGTGGAAAAATTGAATTAATTGTAAAATAAACTCTAAAAATCATTTTATGAGGACATTGAATTGACATAACCTCAATTTAACAAGTATTTATGCTAAAAGTGTGGCAAATAAGTAACTGAATATTATTATTGAATATATACACAATAGCATCACCTGTCAAGTCACAACAAATACTCTCGATTACGAAACCTTATACTACGCACATATTTTAGCAACAATCAATGAATTGAAAAGTGCACCAAATTGAGGTAATATTATATAAACCTGTTGGTCTTTTCTTCGGCCAGCGTTGTCCTGTCATGTTGCGTTTTCGTCATTCAATGCGCGCATTTTTCAGAAACAATTGACATAACTTGCATGATACATGATACCTGCCGTAATAGTGCTCGGCGCGCTCAAAAGCCAAGGCAGAAAAATGTAATATTGGTCCGGTGAAAGGACAGCGCGAGAGCAGATGAACGACGCCGGCCCAACCACACCTTGACGAAAAGTTCCCCACCGTTTTTGATTCGTATTCGCAAACTTTACACCTCGCTTTTTACTATAAATACGCGACGCGGCCAACTGTAACGATACAGAAACAAAACTACCACAAGTTGGTAAACATACACAGCTTACAATGGCATTCAAAGTAAGTCAAGTTCAAAAATCAATTTTTTTTTCATTAAAATTTAATTTTTTTAATTTTTTATTTTTTAGTTTGTTGCTTTTGCTGCGCTTTTGGCCGTAGCCAACGCAGGCGCACCTATTGCTTACGCTGGTGCCCCAGTTGCTCATTACAGTGCCGCCCCCGCTGTAAGCTACGCATCTTACGCTCCAGCCGTAGCTAAAGTTGCTGCGCCTGTGAGTTATGCAGCCCCAGTTGCACACTATGCTCACGCTCCAGTTGCTCAATACGCTGCGGCCCCAGTTGCTCACTACGCTCATGCTGCTCCAGTCGCTCACTACGCTGCTGCTCCAGTTGCCTACGCTGCGCCAGTAGCTAAATACGCCGCTGCTCCAGTTGCCTACGCCCCTGTTGCCAAAACCATTGTCGCTGAGGCCCCAGCAGCTTATGACTTCGGTTATTCCGTGAATGATCCACACACTGGTGACAGCAAGACCCAAACTGAATCTCGTCGTGGTGACGCCGTCCACGGTTCCTATTCCCTCATTGATGCTGATGGCACCAAGCGTACTGTTGAATACACTGCTGATGCTCACAATGGTTTCAACGCTGTTGTTCACCGTGAGCCACTGGCTGTGAAAGCCGTTGCCGCACCGGTTGCCTATGCTGCGCCAGTAGCTAAATACGCCGCTGCCCCAGTTGCTTACGCTGCGCCAGTAGCTAAATACGCTGCACCAGTTGCCTATGCTGCTCCAGTAGCTAAAGTTGCCTACGCTGCTCCAGCTGTCCAATACGCTCACGCCGCGCCAGCTGTGCAGTACGCCCACGCACCAGTCCACCATGGATATTCCGCAGCTCCATCTGTAAGCTACGCCTCTTACGCCCCAGCTGTGGCTAAAGTAGCTGCCGCCCCAGTTGCCTACTCCGCCCCTGCCTATTACCACCATTAAGTGTAAGCACTAAACAACAAACAAATAGTATTTATTGTTTTATGTTTTTTTAATGCCATTGTGTATAAACTATCCTAAATATAAAATGATTAATTTAGATAAGTATGAGTTTTGATTGTTTGCAAGAGACAAAGTGAATTTAAACCTCCGAGGTTTTTTATTATCTCTGCGGATTTTATGCCGTCCAAGCACATTCTCGTATATATTTCACGCAAATCGAGTGCGTTTGATCGCTTCTGACCACAGCGGCTAGTTGGGTTGCCTAACCGAAGCGTTATATCAATTACCATTATGAAAGGCAAAAAATATGAAAAATTCTCTTCCGGAAAATGAAAAATGTATGCGGTCTGCTAAGGGGTGGCGGTGGTGGGTGCACAAGCGTGGAAAATGAATTATTCTCTTACTCTCTATATCGCTATCTATATGAAAATATGGAATCATGAAAATATGAAAATGCCGTTTGGTATGTACCCGAAAAAAATAAATAAAAATGGGAAACGTTTATATCCCTCTCGATGGCGCGCCATGAAAGGATACGGGCGGAACAGAGGCGGAGAAGTCCGCACTGCTGCTGGAATAATAAAAAAAAAAATAGAAAAAGGAGGCGAACTTTGCGGCGGCGGTCAGTTCGTCCTCCCGTCATCGACACTCGTCGGCGCACGGATTTTTAGATAAAAAATATTGGACTGTACCGGACTGCATAAAACCTTCGTGATATGTGTGGGCGCATTTAACACTATTAAACATGCGCCTGGCTTTTGTTCCATTTTTTTTTTATCTTTGGAGAGAAATTTAACTCGCAGCGATTCAGTTTTTATTATAAACTTTGATTTAAAGTATTTTAAGTTAGGCAAATTATTATACACCATAACCTACGTTCTAAGTATTTTTTACAGTTTACTTTGCTATAAATAGATGGCGCTGTTGTATGTTTTTGTTAATCATTTGCTCATTTTACTTTTACTAAGCCTCAAGCAAAATCATTCCACAAACAGACACTGTAAAACTACTTGTTACCCTTTGCAAGATAAACAGATAAGTTAACTCTTGACGAAATTGTTCAGTTTGTTTGCTCTCGTCTGGTGGCTGAAAAGAGGGTGCCTAATTGCGTGGGAGCCCAACCCATGCAAAGATTTCTCCCTTTGAGGACGTTTTCACGGTTCACACACTCGTCAACCTCAGTTTTCACCCTCAGCAACACTCAACAACTTCTCGCTTTCTGCTATCTTTGATCTTTCAATATTAAACACTGTAAAATGTAGGTAATACGACATCACATTAGGTACCTCCCCAATTTTAAAATTAGCAAATGTGACAAATTCACTAGGTTCTACTTAGCTGCGAATATCCAATGTGGATGTGTTTGTTTGTTTGCACAAGATGAGTAAGTAAGATAAACGAGTGTCCCACCTGTTGAACCGCAAACATCAATACAAGGGATGAGTGCCTTCGAAAGCGCAGAGAAAGAAGAACGCAAACAAAACACAAACACACACCACTCGACAATATTCCAGGCAAGCAAATCAAAATCAGTTCAATCTACATTATGCGAGGTACAAAGAGCTATCCATGTAGTATCACTATTCACTCATGGATTCATGTCATAATATTGATCACAATCTGCATGCATATTGTAGGCGACAGTGGATTTAGTCGCACTTGCTCTTATTACCGAATTCATTTCCTGAATTCAAGATGTCTGAAGAAGGAGGAGGAGGTCATATTGCGTTTTATGTTTAAAGATGAGTGAGTATGAGTGTGAGACTTGGCAAATATTTCATTTACTTGTAGCTGAAATTAAATGTAAATGATGGGCTTTGCGTGGGACACGCATAACGTGTTAATGTAAATGTCAACGAAGATGAAGGCCAAAAATGTGAAAGTATGCGGAACGCGCCACATAACTGTTTAGTATATTTGGTTGCATACATTAATAAGTTTTTTTGGAAAATAAAAAAATGAATTTCAAGAATATTTCAATCTTGTCGTTGATTTATTTGCTTCTGCTTATTACTCAAATGCTGCATCTCGCTTGATTCTTGATTTACTATGAAGTTTACTACACAATTTACAATTCGTCGGCGTCTTGTTCGCACACCGTTTGTATTTGTTTCCTGGCAACTGAGTTGGAAACTAACTTCCAGCTCCGACTGCTGCTGCTGCCAGAATTCGTGCCAGTCGAGAATAGGAGATATTCATTTGCGAATTCAACTCTCAACTCCAGATACTCTGTTTTAACGCAATACACAGCATTGAAATCATAGAGAATGGGACAAACAATGCTCGCAAACATTATAATACTGTTTTGGGCATACAGGATGTTCCAAACAACATATTACAATCAATAAAATAAAATAAAATCATTTTTAACTAAAAACTTTAAATTTTTTAATTTAAATGGCTTGGAATTTATTAATTTAATCTACAATTGCAAAACGATGAAACCCTTGAACATCCCTTAAGAAACATCAACTGTAGGGCATTGCAATCTGTCTCCTTCCTCGGATGGCGCACACACTATTCACTGTTCCACTGTTTTGTCTTTGCCTCCTCGACGTATAATAGAGGGGAATGGAATGGGATTCCAATTGGAATTGAATAGCATTCAAACAGAATTTAATAGTAAACGGAATTATATTAGTGTCTGCGAGAGGAACCATTCTATTCAACAGCGAAGACTTCAGTTCAGCGTTGCATTGAATCTAGTTTTGAGACTTTCAAGCAGTTTCCAGGCACAAACGCCGCACAATGAACGAGTTATAACATTCAGTTGCGCCATTTTATATTTTCTGTATTAACATAACCTCAAAATTAAGCAACGCGCCAAATGAAATTCCACTGTTTCATTTTTCATGCGATCACGCCACGTGTCGCCGCGAAGAGTAATAAAAGTAATAAAGTGCGGAACATCCCCTGAATGCACGATGGAGATAATAGCGATGTGGGCGCAGTGTGAGGCCCCGAGATGTGTAAGTAACATTGAATAAAATCGAGTCGAATTCTTTGGCGCGTCGAGAATTTAATTAAATTAGTATTAGCTTATTGTGTCCTTGCTTGCCGCGCGCCGCCCTAATATATTCTGCGTCCTTGCCGACTCATCCCTTGTCTCTTTCGGGTCGCAACTCGACAGAATATCTAATATTATTGCGCAATGGAAAAAAAAGAATAAACGCAATTTTTTGTTAATTTATTTGATGTTATATCTTATAATTACATTTTACACCCCTATGGGTATTTGAGAAGCCCCAGAATTTGTAATAAATGAATTTCTTGGAGCGTCTTTGAGAGAAAATGATTCAAAGCTTTGAAAAGCGGAGAAAGCTCAAACAATTACCAAGATATGCCCATATGCACGATGACAATTGTTGCCTACTTACTTTATCATCTTTAACCCTCCTTAAATGCTCTTTAGAAGTCCCGACGCACACAATGCAAACGATTCAAGAAAGAAGATAATTTCACTGAACTGAACAAAGATAAGAAGAGATAATTAACGCGTTGAGACTGCGAATGTAAAATATTCTTCAAGGTAATCTTAATTATTTATTTAATTATGTTTGGTTTTTAAAAATTTGTTATTTTTGTTTTGTGTGTGCAATAAAATCGAAATAAATTCAATGCGAGTAAATTGAAAATGTTGGGAGGTATTGAAATATTACGAGTACGTGCCAATATTGAACATTTTGAACATTTCCAACATGTTGGCAATCAAATTAATATATTGACATGACGTGGAAACAATGGACGCAATGCGCTATATTCGAAATAAAATAACAATAATATTAATATTGGTTTAAAATACTATAATTCAATATGAAAACCATTTAAATTTAATAGTGAAATATTAAAATATTAATTTTTATTTTAAAAGACGTCAAAATTTTGTTTTTTCACATTAAAATATTTATTTTCAAAATTTTTAATTACAAATGCTAAAAATCAATTTAGAAAAATTTTAAAAATCTATTTTTACTTTAAAACTACTTTAAAATCAATTTTTTCGGATTTAATTTAAAATTTTAGTTGTTATTGAATAAAATCCTATTTTATTCTGTACAGTTTACATTTACATTGCTTATATTGCTTATATGTAAATGTTTCGCGGTGTCACGATCAGACTGGTAGGGATGAAGCTTGGCAAACAGAAAATACACGAAACTACCCCAGCCCCACCGTCGCGTAGGCGGAGTCCGATCAAAAGCTCGCCGCGTGATTGGAGGGCAACTGTAGGGTTGTAGCCGCACACTGTAGCCAACTCACAGCCTTGCCGCTTTCGCATAATGCGCACCCCGTCGTTCACCCCGCCATCCCCTTGTTGCGCTCGCTCCCGTTCGGGGGTAAAGTGGCTACACACGTTTCGGCATCTGTGTAAACCTAAACCGATCTGCGCTCGTCGCCCAGCTCTGGCTACACTTTTAGTTTGCTGCCAACCAGTCATCGTACAAGACGTGGGGCACATTTACCAAAACCACTACCATCACCATCATCATAGTGACAGTTACAACACAACAATATGTGTATGAGTGAAAAATATTAACTTTTATTCTGGAAACAAGACAAACTGTGTGACCAAAACGAAAAAGATATGAGTTTACCAGGAAGTGGAATGGACATGTCTGCACTAATGTCCCAACATCCAGTGCTGGGTGCAATTCCACCAGCGTTTTTCCTACGCGCTTCTGAAAGATACCAGCGCACACCAAAATGTGCCCGATGCCGGAATCACGGGGTTGTCAGCGCGTTGAAAGGTCACAAGCGTTATTGCAGATGGCGTGACTGTGCCTGCGCGAAATGCACCCTGATTGCTGAACGGCAACGTGTCATGGCCGCACAGGTGGCGCTGCGTAGACAACAAGCACAGGAAGAAAATGAAGCCAGAGAATTAGGTTTGCTTTTTCCTGCTCCAGCACCACCAGATACTCCACCGTCGGAAACAGCAAATTCTTCCAATTTAGGCATGAGTCCAACCAGCGCGAATGCAAATGCTAACGAAAATGGTTCACAATCCTATCCGGATCAGATGGGGATGTCACCGACGGGTAGCACAAGTCCAAATTGTAAGTTTAACCCTTAAAAAATTGATTTTTCACCAGAATAATTATAATGATTTTTAACCCTTTGGAAAATACGCGGATCAATTAAAAATAATCACGTAACCACTTCAACATCCCTTAAACCGATCGACCTCGTATTTATTCTTAATTGTTGCTCATTTATTTTTGCGTGTGTAAGTTGTTCTTTTGTTTTGCGGGTTGTTTTGTGGTTTACCCTTTGGATTTAATGACTTGCACGGCTTGAAAAATGCAACAACCCCTTGTTTGTACAGTATCCATTACGCGCTGCGGGTGCGAAAGCATATGTTGCCATGCAATTAATGTCAAGTGAAAGCTCTGAGGGTTGTTATCGTTCATCTTCATCTACTTAACATGGTTAAACACAAATGAGGGATCAAATTTTTTTCCCTGTTGAAATGATACTCGAGAAATTAAAAAGTATGAAACTCTAGAAGAAAACAAAATTACAAAGAAAATTAAATTTTTATTTTTAAAGGTTTCTCGCTGGAAATAATTGAAAAACAAAACAAGGGTGCTGAATATTATTTTATTATTTTTTTGTTATACTTTTCATGAGGTTTGTGTAAATTTCGTGTTTTGTACTTTGTTTCCTAACGTGGGTTTCATCGGGTGTTTGTTTTCCACTCGGTGCTGCTTCTTGCGCTCCCACTTTCTTTCGAATGTGTCGGAGGCTTTTGTGTTCGCTGAATGTTGATGTTGATTTAACAATTAGCCGATTTGCGCCGTCGTTGGCTCGCTTTCGAGCGCAAACAAGTTGTTGAAAGCGACTCGCGCGTCGAGTGTTTGCGCATCCATAGAGTTACTTAGTAAGCATCGAGTTACCACCGATTGGTTGGTTACTATTTTGTTTGCCGTTGACATTCCGGCGATAAATCAAAGCGGCACCACTCTGCGCAGTGGTTGTCACGACACAATATTTAAAATCAGGCAAATATTTGAGAGCGCATTTACGGGAGGAGTAGAGTGTTCGTTTGTTCGCTAATGCTTGGAGACAAAAATGTATTAAACATTGGTCAACATTAGAGAATGTCACAAAATCACAGGCCGCACATTTAACACAAGACAAACGACGTGTTTATTTTACTAAATGTGTTACAACATACAAATAGAAAATTAAAATCAACACGTTTCGTTTTATTTTTAAATTTTGCATAACGTTTATTTAGTAAAATATAAATTTATTATTGATTTTTTTTCTGTGGTTTAAAGTGCAACTTCCTTCGACATTAAATTTCCAGTTCGCTTGTGCATTCATCCATTTGCTGCGGTGGTCCGAGGGCCGTTTGTATTGTTTTGTTTCGAGTGCATGAGTTGGCCGGACCACTCCCGGCCGTCGCTTTTCTGGACTGACTGAATTTTCCCTTTTATTTCGGATCGAGTGCGCTGGCGTCGAGTACCAACCGGCCGCTGAAGACTGTTGAGACTGAAACCTACACTTGTCTCGATTTTCCGTGCGGGCAAATTGCAACCGAACGCAAATGTTTTAACTTTTAATTGATGCGAAACACACAAAATCCAGCGTCACGGTTTTAAAAGAAAACGTTTTTGCGCTAGAAAGGGGAAATTAAACAAGCGCGTAAAATATTGTGTGTATGTATAAAAATAGGGGACGTTAATAATTAATTAGCGTTCGACGCTCATGCAGAATATCGTCGCCTCGGGCGGCTTAATGAATAATGCGTCAATTAGAGCGTTTAAACGCGTCAGCGGGGGCGTAGAAAAGCGCGAGCGTTTATTGTAGACGACGCTGGGGGTTGAAGAGAAGTAGGAAAAAAAGTAAAAACAGGAAATATCAAGTAAAATGTGCTCGAAATACTTAAAAATCTAGAGAAGCGTTAAAACACCTCGAATAGTGTTACTGGCGCATGCAACATTTGTGCAAAACACGATGCATGCGAAGGGAAATGTCATCCAGGTGGAAAACGGAAACATACTTCAAAAAAGACGACGCCATTAAATATTCACACTTCAATCGGCGCCATTTTGCTTAGATTACATTCATTACATTTACATAAACATTAACTTTATATAAAAGAATAATAAATAAATAAATCGATTATACAATGCAATTTGCAATGTGTAGGTAAGTGTAGTTGCCTATGTAATGAATATATCACAAAGGGGTGTGAAGATCTGGCAGTAAAACAGCGGGTAGGAAATGGTACGATCGCAACAGAAGCGTGTCGACGTCGTTAAATCGTCATTGACACAATTAGCTTCGAATAATTTACTGCGATAATGTGCACTGAATTGCTTCACACCACACAATTATAAACTTGTATTGTATTGTGCTCATGGTGAAAATATAAAACAAATTTATAGGTTATAATAGGTTAGGTTACTTCTAAATTTTTAGGCATCCACATAATTTTACTTTTCTATTTGGTGCGCTTGTGTAAGATGTCTTCATTCGTACAAATAATGACATCCGACATTCCTTTCGTATTGCGGCATTCCGCAAGTATCGTTTAACGTTAATGAAGCATCCGCAAAGCGTTTAGACTTTACTTCCCCCTAGTCCTACGCTCATGGCATTCCATCTAAGTGGATATAATGAACACGTTTCACGCCCAACGGCCTATTAAACCTAATGACATTGCGTTATAGACCTTTATCATTTTTTGTATCATAACCTAAAAATTTTATCACAATTTCTTTTTGTTTCGCAGTAAAACGAACAAAACTGGAAGATGATTCCGATTCGGAAGAAGATTCAACTCGCATCACTCCCAAACGTCGTAATTCTTCCTCACCGACATTAGCAATGCCACAAACATTCAAAGATCACACCGCTGCACCCAACACTCCATCACCTGAACCTCCACAACGTGAACGCCGCTCACCAAGTCGCGACCTGGATGTTGAAGATGACAACTCATCAGAAGCACCTGAAAATCTTTCTTTAAAAAAAGAAAGTCCGCCGAGTCCAAACTCCACCATGCCAAACCCATTCAATCAACCTTATCTACCTTACCATCATCCAAACTTCCCACCACAATTCTCACCATTCCATCACTTTGCAAATGCACATGCCAATGCACAACGGTCACCAGTTGATGTCCTTCTACGTGTATTCCCTGGAAGACGTCGTAGTGACGTTGAAGCAATTTTACAACGCTGCAAAGGAGATGTACTACAAGCAATGGAAGCAATGGTTTCCGGAGCGCAGGAACCCGACCAGGGATGTCCCACACCATCGGCATTCTCACCTCTTGGACCTCCAAACAGTTTTCATCGTTTTTCACCATCCAGGAGATTTCTATCCGCGCCATATGCAGGAACCGGGTATCTATCCACTGTAATCCGCCCACCTCAAGAATATGGTCTACCAATGGTCCATCCTGACCTCTACAGCGCTGGAGACAAAACCACCGCGTCTTCTCCAGCCTCCAACACCGGATCCGATAAAACATCTTACTCGGAATAGCAATTTGGAAGGTGGTAGGTTAAAAATCACACCGGCTGTTTATAATTTAGTATTTTAAGGGTGAGCAAGTAGTAGGGTGAGTGTGCATATTGATAATTGCCGGGGTCGTTCCTATTATGCATGTAGGTGAAGTGGTGCTGAAGGAGATGGTTGCATACGGCGGTTTTCAACGTTTCCGCTTCAACAATCGCATCGAAATTTAATTACACATTTGAATCGTACAAACCTACAGAGTGTTTGAAATAAATTTCTATTATTTGACCAATGCATGTGATGATTGTTGGCAACACTCACTGGTGTGGGTGAATAGTCTGAAAAGGGGAACGAAACAAAAACCCCGTCGCTTGTGAATATCGTGAACATTGTGCCGGAGTTTGGGGGCGCATTGTACCTCTGTAGCGACCAGCAGCTCGCCGGTGAATTATATTATTTGGCGGGGTGCGCACGCTCGTTTTTTAATAGCAACGACCCCCGCGACTCGAAACGTATAAAACCCATTCACCACCGACACACGCGCTATGGCCACAATACAATAGCGCATCCAGATACAAAACCAAATTGAAATCAAGAAACATCCAGAATGAATGAAAATTTGCTTGTAGTGTAAAAAACAATGCTTTAAACATAAAATTTAAAATGTTAGTTGATTAATTTATTATCCACACATATGTATGAATTATTATTGAGACATGTATATAATTTTTTTTAATAATAACAATTTGTAATTGTAGAAAATATTAATTATATTTAAGTGTAGATAAAATTTAAACAAAAACAGTCATTAATATTAAAAGTGTACATTATTGCGCTTCTAGGTATAAACTATTTTAAAATATTGATATAATCACAATCCCAACTATTATACGTAAATTGTAATCAATTAAAACACTTTTAATCAGTATCTTCGTAAAAGACATCGGAAATAACGCAAAACTATAGATATCAATGTAAAAATAATTATATATTGTATTAGACAATGTAAATATTAGTATAAATAAAATATTAAATTAAACGTATAAAAATTATTTGGTGTTAAATTAAAAATTTTCAGATTTTTGAATTTTTTAATTATGTGGAGGCGCCGGGAGTCATTGCAATTGTCACATCAAGCTATACATGGCGTGATTACATGTAATGTGAGTATGAAGTAGTCATTTGCATATTTAAATTATGTACCTACACGCGTCAAAATCATCACAAAAGCAAATACGATGTGTTTACGGAGTTCAACGATTTTATTTTGTTTAATCTACAGTGTGTACGTGATTATAATTAATTTTTTGGAGTTTAATCCGCGAAAAACGTGAAAATTTTAGTTTTTGTATGATTATTCTGCTGTTTTAATTTTTTTGTGAATTTTGTTAGAAACACTCTGTATTTCACTATGTTTTGTAATAATTATTAACACTGAATAGCGTCGCAGGCCTGCGTTACGTTATTACGTCGCCAACGTTCGAGTGGCGTTCGTTGTAATGAGAAATTTAACAGGTCGCTGCGTCCCGTGCGTTCCACGCAAATTAATTCAGTTTTGCGCGGAATTATTTCGTCTAGTAATCAATTTTACACCCCTGTTACTCTAATAAACGTCGCGACGCCACATGCATTACAAGTTTTGTGATATTAAAACATTTTCTATTTCTATTTTACTCACAAAACGCAAAATTTAAACTCTTCTTTGAAATATTTCAACTTTTGTAATCCGATTCTTAAAAAAAGAACAACATGTAACAGTGCTTGATTTAATCTAAAGTTTTACATTGTGTAACGTTACATTTTGGTCTTTTATTGTGTCTTTTTTTTAATATAAAAGTGGAGGACTTGCTTTTCTAAGTAGTACCCGAAAAGGTATCAGTTATCAATCCGTTTGTCTTGTTACGATCACTTACAGATGGCAGATAGAAACGATACACCTACGCGTCTCTAAAGAAACTAATTGAAAACCGAAACCAAGAAGGGTGGGTCTTAATATACCGGTGTACATGCGCCCCACATACTGTCAAGTATTTACTTTTATTCAGATCGTGAAAAAGATAAACGGCATTCAAAAAAATTCAAAATCAGAAAATTTACGTAAAAAATAAAGTTTTTAATCAAAAATAATTTAATATTAATTAGCTGGAGCAATATTCCAGTATCTATCAATTGAATTGCCCACTCAATTGTCTTTTGTTTCATCCCTGTGTTAATAACAAATGTAATATGTACTGTACGCTACGCCACATCAAGGACCGCATCGCACACAAGCAATATCGAATTGTTTTGTCTGCGGTACGCGCATTGTTGTCCGACTGAATTCAATTAGGATAATATTAGACGTGTATCCATCCGTTTGTGGGTTCCAACCTCATAAACACACACTCATCGCACACACCCCCCGACATTCGATAGCGATAACCCAGCGTAGGGTTAACAGGAGTGGGCAAACGTGCGAGAATATGCGGTTAGCGTTGCAAACCCGAACGGTGGCTGCAGACCCGCTATTCGTATTTATATAGATGTATTAAGTGCCGCCGTCGGAGCAAACGTCGAAACGGACGACATGCACTTGGCTGTCAGCGGCAGGCGCGGCCATTCGGGAGGGCGCTTCCAAAGGGACAATAAGAGATAACTTATCCGCGCCACGGAAGATCTAAAACGGATTTAGACACCCTTTTTTTACTAAAAGTTTACCACATTTAAACATTTATCAATAAATTTGATTTTTGAATTGAAAATTCATTTTTTTAATTATTTTGCTTTAAAATGATAAAAATTGATAAAAAACAAGAAAATAATAAAAACCTGATTAATTGAGGTGTCATCTTGCACGACACCAACTTATCTTTCAATTTCAATTCCTTATAAATTCAATTTGAAATTTTTCTTCCATTCACTCTTCTCAATTCCGATTTGCAGACGCGGCAAACAATGCCGATAAAATCGAAAAAGCGAAAATTCGAAGCGATTCATCTTGGTTATACTCGTATATCCGCCGTTGCGTTGTTTAATATTAATTTAAATATCGCTAACGACGATTCCAATGCACCCCAGCTAAGAATTGTATGGAAATATCTGTAGCATGCTTCTTCAAGCTACGCGAAAAGAAATTTTGTGCAAGTGGAATTTTTCAATTCCGCGTTTCGTGCGAGAGAGGGTGGCGGAGGAAGCAGAGCTTGACGTCGCGCATCGCGTCGAAGCGGAAAATTTAATTATCGCCAACCATCGAACACTATATATCTATGCGGCGTATATAATACTCAATACTCGAACACAGACGCAGAAATTGAGAAATACGCAGCCCCTTTACGACACCCCCGTGTTTGGGTGTAAGGAACGAGCGCGACGTGGTGTCGATGCTGTATTAACGCGGATCGCGAAGGCGCGAAGATCGCGCACAATAGGAATGCTAATAGTATTTCAATTAAGTTTCATACGCTGACATCCAGGGAATATTTCGAAAATGCATTTGAAAAAATAATTGGATTTGAATGTTTTCTTGTTTTAACCTAACCTCAAATGTTGCGGACAATTAGTGTGGTCAAGTTGCGTATGCAATTTAATAAGCCACTTAAATGCAGCTAAGTAAATAAAAAAAAAACATTGATAAATCAAATAATAAATAAATACCTATTGAAATCAGTACATAAAAATCTTTTCCCACATCATATTGTAAGAATTAATTCATGTGAATTAATAGATATATCAGTTTGTATATTATAATATAATTTTTTGCTCACCCCTTTTAATATCTCTGCTGGTGAGTATATGAATTGATATTTGTTTAATTGGCCAAGCGTAAGACACGCACAATAGCCACACAAACCGAGGGGATTGAAAATTGAAAGCAAATTTCTATCTAGATACGAGTGTTGAACAAAAAATAATTTTTTAATTCAAGTATATTTCTATATTACTACTACTAGTAGTCTATTACTTGTGTGTTTGAAATTAGATTATTATCGTGATTTCAGCGGTTGTGCCTTAGCGTTTGTGTTTGTTTCGCCGCCATTATGTGTCCGCCGCAGACGATCCGGCCGGCGTTCGGCGCGGCGTCGCTAATTCGATTGCAATTGTAAAGCAATTGCATGGCGAACGCCCGGAAGGCTAATTGTTCGTGTTCGCACCACGCCAGGCGATTGTCAACTGCGCGTATTTAAGCCGCAGTTTGGTGCGGGAATATTTTAAAGCGTTTTAATCTTCGACACGCGACTTTCAAACCAGAGCGCACGTATTTGGTTAGCGCTGATCAAGTGTTAGGCAACCAACAAAACAAATGTCCATGTCTAGACTTTAGATTTTATAGAATACAAAAAGTATTGAGATTGAATTAAAATTTTATTGTGATGGAGATTTGGGGTGTGCAACGGGACAAGAAAATAAGTCCTAGTGGAAATGACATTTGACAATTTAAAAGGGTTATTATACACTGTGGTTATATTTATTTAATTTTTTTGGTTAATTTTAACAACTTTTGGTTTATTTTTCAAAAAATATTTTTGGAGACACAATTTTTTGTGGTTGTATTCATACATTCAGCATTTGAATCAAAATAATTTTCGTACCGATGAAAAGCAGAAGAGCATATCAGTGTTGGTTGGCTGTTTAGGTTGGTGTAGTTGGAAATAGAAAAGGTCACTTGAAGTGCCTCGTGGCCTTTCGAGTGGGTTTTCTGCTCCACTCCGCACCGAAACGATATCCATTTGATGCAAGAACCAGGCGAGCGAAGAAGAGCCAAGAGTCGAAGAGATAGAATTGAAAAGTTGGAAGCGTAGGTAGAGTATCAATAGCCGAAACGAAACTGGAGTATCTCCGGAGACTCCTCAAATGGAATCTCGTGCTCAATGCTCCACCAGAGCGAGTTTCTTTATATCGGCGAGAGAGCGTTGCAAGAGTTACGCGTGCAAAACGAAAACGTTTTATTTCACAAGTGGTGGATGCTTCCTTGCTCGTAATATGAGAAAATGGTCAAAAAGTCGGGATGCATGTAGTTTTCTAAAGAATTTCATTTAATGTCCACTTTTGGGCATTGGGAAAATCAACGTCAAAACATTTTTTTACCCAATTCATAACCTCAAAAATAAATATATAGCAG